TTCTGCTCATAGACGGAGCACATGATAGCATTAAAAATATTAACAGTTAGGAGTGTCTGCTTGTAATACAGTTTTAACATTTGCATTTGACATTGGTTGCACTTACAAGACAGTAAGTGCAACCAAATAAAAATAAAATCACCAATATTTTGTAGTTATGCCTGAAGTGGCACATTATCTCCAGTCTGAACCACAGGAGGACTTTGAGTACCTTTTTTTCTAGGTCATAGACCTCCTGAAACTCCTAATGGGATAATATTTGTTAAAGATTGCTATAAGTGTTCCTCTTTTTAAGCAAAGCACAAACATCTTTTGCTTAACTGTCACACTTCTAACAAAATCAGATATTTATGCTTCCATGGCAATTATTCCTGCTTAAATTGTGTCATTTATTGTAACTGGTGTCATTTATTTGTGGCTAAAAGAGAGCTGCTTTAATGCAAAAAAAACCAAACACACAATGATGCTCTAAACTGCATCGAAACAAACGAAAACTGTTGGACATATGAAATTTGGGCCACTCAGACACAGTCTAGTTGTTTTGTCCTCTGGCTAGTAGAGATGACTCTGACGTCGTCTCTGGTTCCGGAGTGAATCGGAACAAGATATGTTTTTGATATACTGGATCTCTGAGTGTGGTTGTTGATTCTGTGAATCCAGCTGCAGCTTACCCTTTGGTAAACTACAAGAAACTTACAAATTATGCTCAATAATCCCAAGTTGCATAATGTTACCTCTGTGCCCTATCAGTTTTTTTTTCACTCAACTATCTATTAATGTGCTTGGATACTGAAAACAGGGAGTTTCTGAAACATTGATCATCGGTGTCTTACCCTCATTTCGGACACTGTTAACATTCAACCAGTGGTTGTTTTTGTTCTGACATGGTCATAACATTTTTATATTAAAAATCGTAACATTTTCTGAGGAATTGAATTTAGGACTTAACGTTTTCTGAAACCCACAATACATTAAATGACTTGAAAGGAATGCTTAAATTCCACGCAAGATAATAATAAAATGTCACCTTTTGAAATTAATTACTGGAATAAACTAACACGGTAATGTAATTTATTGAGAGGCATCTGCTTAAACTCACTTAGCACTGCCTGAGAAATCCCACTGGGTCAGGAGAACCAGTTGAGAACTACATCTTTGCACCATTCTTGTTCAGAAGTACAACAAATACTTTTCTAACTTAAAATAAATGTGGAATTCACCCTTTTAATCAGCTTAAGTTATGACTGTTCCGAGTTCAAGGAATCGCTAAGAACTGAAGTTTAAAACTCTAATACTGCAAAAAGTTGGACAGAAAGAACTCGGATGTAAATATTTTTTTTGTAGAGATCCTACTGATGGACGTTTGGCATTCTGTATGTCTCTGTTTGTCTTGTTTCCTCTCTTTGGTTCTTCAGAGGTCATGACCACCATCGAGGAGGGCGACGTGGACGACATGACGAAGAGACGGGTACACGAGGGGAAAGAGAAACCCGGAGCTCTCTGGCACATCTACGCAGCCAAGGATGCCGAGAAGATCCGTGAATTACTCCGCAAGGTTAGCAGCCGCTGGTTCCTCAAGATACTAACACTCGTTTAAAGCTTTTTAACAATATCTATTTGGGTTTTTTTCTCTCTCTCTGTGTCAGGTGGGAGAAGAGCAGGGTCAAGAGAACCCTCCGGACCACGACCCTATTCATGACCAGAGCTGGTACCTGGACCAGGGGCTCCGGCGCCGACTGTATGAGGAGTACGGCGTCCAGGGGTGGGCCATCGTACAGTTCCTCGGCGACGCTGTGTTTATCCCTGCCGGAGCGCCACACCAGGTCAGACACATGAGGTCTCAGAGTTTTATTTATAGCAATAAACAGTTTGAGGCGTATCCCCTTCACCAACGTAGCTCTCTTCCTCTCTCTCGCTTCCTGCTGTGTTCCCGTCAGGTACACAACCTGTACAGCTGCATCAAGGTGGCGGAGGACTTTGTGTCTCCTGAGCACGTGAGGCACTGCTTCAGACTGACGCAGGAGTTCAGACACCTTTCTACAACTCACACAAACCACGAAGACAAGCTGCAGGTTGGTTTTACTCGTGCTTGCACACGTATTGCGGTGTTGATCATCTAGCATTTGACGTTTCCTTCTTTGATCCGTTTTCTTCAGGTTAAGAACATCATCTATCACGCAGTGAAGGATGCCGTCGGGACACTGAAGGCTCATGAACCTAAACTAGCTCGCCCTTAGTCCTCATTCCCACTCTACTACATACACACACACGCACGCACGCACACACCACATATTCACACATAAATGAAAACTGCAGAGTACAAAGTACAGATTGTGTGTGTGTTGTTTGGGGCAGTGACGATCTGAATTTTGGGGGAAAGAACATTTCATTTAAGGGGGTGGGAATAGACAGGGATCAGCGCTTTGATGAAGGAACTCCTTTGTCGCTGTTACACAGTACTCTTAAACTTGTCTAGTTGTTTTTACGTTTTTTTTGTTTGTTTTTTTTTCTTTTTGATTAACATTGTATTTAAGGTCAGTGTGTTCTCTTGTTTTTGTTGTAAATGTAAAATGTTTGAGTAAGGGAGGGCAAAAAAGCTGACGTGCCTTCAGAGCAGAGGTTCAGCTACAATATAAGCAAAACACAAAATGTGAGTACTGGGTAACATTCTTATTTTGATGACATGCTTAGGTTTTTCATTAGAAACAAGGTTAATCAACCAGTTTGATTTGATTATTTTTGCCGTCTGTGGCTGCAATGAATTTGCAAAGCAGCCGATCAAGGGAAGCTGACCAAAGTTTTGTATTTTTAGTTTTCTTATTTCTCTCATTTAGAGTAAGAAATCTTCTTTTTTTACGCAACAAGCTGATGATAAGACGAGCTTCAGAGACGGCAATGTTTTCTTTTTTCTTTTTTTTTTTCTAATCCGTCTTTGTTCAGGAGGTTTGATTAACTACGGACTTCCAGCTATATTGTTCAAGAATCACAGTTGCAGCTGAACAGAACTACTGGCCATTAACATTGTATCAATATATATATTGATCTTAGCAGTTGGATTTTTTTTCACAATAAAATTTACAAAAATATCTTTGTTTAAGGCCTTTTCTGTATGTGGTCTTTTTATTGTTTTGTAGCAAGTTGGTGAAAAGCCAGATACAATCCTCTTGTCTATTTTTCTCTTGACTGTTATTTATTCAGAAAAACTGACTCTAGATCAGATAAACAGCAGTGATGGTAAATTTGCAAGCCTGCTGGATAAAATAATCTGCCTGATCTTTCTAGGAACCCCAGTTGGAGATTAACCAATCATGACAGTGCATTTTGTTAACTATTCATAGGTCAGTAGGAGTCCAATGCTTGACCCAGGCTGGAAGCAGCTTGTTAGATTCCTGTTGGTTAAATGTTCTGGTCTCATTTTTAATGTCTCACCAATGGATCCCTGCGTAACACATTGCCACACCAATCAATACTCCTATGCTAAAGACAGGAATCTGATGCTACAGTTCACACAGGCTCAACGGATGATAATAATGTCTGGTCCAATGAGAGGGAGATTTCAGCTACGGTGTTCGGACGGCAGCGTTCAAATTTGGCATAAACATGAAAGCAAGGCCAACAATGGTGTCCATAATAACTGAGTCTCAGTCCAGATGTTGACAAGACAGATGTTGATCTGTCTTCTTAAAGGCACATTTAAACCCTAAAAGTGGGCTACCACCTCGTACTAGCAAAGCATACCTAATAAAGTGGCCTGTTTAATTCAGTTTATGACATTAAATAGCAGCAACTCATAAAACTGACAGCGTGCTGAAAATGTGTCTTTGCAACATTTATTTTGAATGGACTTATTGTGAAATTGACGAAATCAGTGGTTGAAGTAAATGTTTATTGAAGATAATTTAGAATTCATACAATCAAAATATAGCCAATTTTCCAATTTGTACAAAACTAGGTAGCAGAGTCGTTCTTAGAAGAGAGAACGGCTGGACACATCCTGCACCTCTCATGAACTGGAAACCTCTTGGTGACGCAGAAAGAAGACGAAGATCTGTGACAATCTGGCAAAAGACCTTCCAAGATGAAAAGATGCCTGTTCACGTCATCGGAAATTACCACGAGAAACAAAAAGAGCTTGCCGCCCACTGGACTGTGCAGTGTAGGAGGAAATGAGTTGGACTGACCTATAAATAGATGCCAAGTCTTCTTAAACAGTTACATTCACAAGAAACATTTAAACCGCATAAATCCTCAGCAGAATGTAGGTTGTCTCTCTTTTCAAGACATTCAGCGGCCGACCTGAAAATGAGCCTGCATAATGAATCTAGATGACCAAAGCAGGCCCAAGCAGAAAATCTCTCTTCCTGGCCTTTTTCCAAATAAAATGCACTAAAATGTTTCTACTGTCCAACGAGACAGTGGCATTAAGCATTAATCCGATAGTTTGAGGCAATTTATTTGATAAATGGTAGAAATGTTTATATTGCAACTACACCATATCATTATGACATCACCATGGCAGCATGAAGTTATAATTAGCTGTGAGTGGGAAATCATAATTATCAGAAAAAAATTGTATGTAATGAATCTATGTGTTTGACTTAACGAACTGCATTCCTGAAATAAATTCACTTTTCAATAATCTAGTTTACCTGAATGAGTATAATTTTAAGTACCTCTATTTTAAGATTATTGAAAGGCAATATGAGTCATGTTGCTGCGTAGGGTCCACCACTAGGGGGCCCTAAGGTAATATGACCATTTCTTTAATACTATGAGAAATAGAAACTGGATGCAAATGCACATGGGAAAGTTATTGAGTTGATACACAAATAATACCTTAAACGCTTCCTGCTGTTGGCTTCTGTCAATTTTAGGAACATGTAAGTAGCCAATATGTTACATTCAAACAAGCAGAGCAGCTTAGGAATGACGAGGCACCTGGTGCTGACATGTTGCTGTGGGGGGCCTCGAATGAAACTATGCGTAGGGGCCCTGAAAAGGCTTGGGCCGGCCCTGCGGACACGGGGCTCGGTGAGGAGGGGGAAACGTCAGCGACGTTAACCAGCGTGGCGCTGCCGCTTTAAGAGCCAGCCTTTCCAGTCGTGGCGGAGAGCAGACTGCAGCAGCGGTTCCTCCACATCCTCCGTGGCCGTTCACTCACCTGCCAGCGCAGCAGCGTGGCGGACCGAGCCGGACCCGCAGCCTCCTGCCCCGCATCGGCACACACACACACACCGCGCCCCGGAGGAGGAATGGGGGGCACCCAGCCCGCCTGCTAGCCGCAACAAGAGCTCCTACACGCGGAGAAGGCTCACGACTCGGCTATCCGGCAGCATGGTGTCCTGGATTATTTCGAGGATAGTGGTGTGAGTATGGGCTGGGCTCCATCTGTCAGGTCAGAAACGTTAGCATCATCACCGTCGTCGTCAACGGCTGCTCCATTCATCGCCGCCTGATGCTCGGCAATGGTCCGCTGCGGTCTGTTTCAGCCCCAATGCAGCTGAAACTTTGTAAATATGAAAAGCCCGTGGGCAGCCTGGTGGTTAAAACCCGATTAAAGCTGCCGTGGGCGCTCACTTTTCCGACACTTGGCGCTGTGTTGTTCAATAAGGGCGATGATGCGGCACAATCTGTGTGCTAACAGCTCTTAGCTAACGACGCTGGCCATTTAAAAACAAACCAGAAGAGAGGGCGATGAAAAGAAGCTGTTCGTCAGCCAACCTGATTAACATGCAAACCTCGCTGCGGACAAGTAAAGGCGCACAAAACAGCCTTCGGTGGCCTTGAACTCCCATGTTGACTGAGTAGAGGTGGATAAATTCATTTTTTGTGTTTTAGTTTTTTTTTTTTTGTGAAGATATGTCTGTGTGGGATCATAAACCAGGGCCTCAATCTTCCACCTGGACACACCACATCTGTGGTTGGATGACTCAACCACAGCCAGCAGCTGCAGTCATCCTGATGTGTTTCCAGGGCAGGCCCAATAGAATTTGGGGCCCGAATTTGCCTGGGATGCCACCTCCCAGTTACACCACCACCACTGACCGGTCACTGGTAGTTTGACCTCTTTCTGTTGGATCTTTTAAGTACTTTTGCTTGTTTTTTGTTGGTTTTTTTTACCCAACCTTTTTGGGTTCCCTACATTGCAGCACATTTATTACTGACCACATCAACTTGTAACAGGACAGGGGTCAAAGTTTCTACCATTGGTTTGACAACCAATGATTGAAGTAATCTATTGAGAGGAAATGCGATTATATGACTCTGCAGACTTGGCTTGGTTTGGGCAGAGGTCATAGTCTCCCATGTTTTCAACAAGATCACTATTGAAATAAGTATAGCAAACACAAATGTAATTTTTATCTTCTAATTCACAAAAAAAAATGTTTTTCATCATATGCACTTGACATAATTTATTAAATAGATGGCCTTGCATAAATGATCAAAACAGTATCTTTTGCGGGGTCAGTCGATTGATCTGTCAGTCAAGTAGAGTGCAGCGTTTAAATGCAAACTTTAATATTCACCCCCTTTTTATAATTATCAGTTGGTAATTTTAGCTGCTTAATCAGTTTAGCCTTTGAAGTATATCAAGTTTGACGATTCATAGAATTCACATTTAAAAGCCGACTTCTGTCTCAGCAGCAGCAGCGTAGTTTGCTTTTGTCTGGCTTTAGTTCCTTCCTTGCATGTCAATAATACCGACGGTTTCTCCAGGATTTAAAGGGGCATCTGGTACAGAAATAATGATCCTTCCTATAAATATTCCTGGATTACATAACAATAACGCTGCTAACGGTTTGCTTCCAGCTGGCTCCTCTACCCCGCAGGGCCTCAGGTAGTCATGCAATGATTAGGCAGCATGACCGCATATGCATCATAATAGTTTCAGCACTTCAAACAGTCGACTCGTTTCTCTTCTTTATTTAGCTCTTTGAACACGCAGAATGATTTGCAAAGGGGGGAAAAAAAAATGATACTGCTTTAGCTTTTTTATGTTGCAGTTGCACGTTTCAACATATTTTATTAGATGGATCGCGTCCAAGTTGTGCATAATAGGCAGCTGGAAGGAAAATGATGCACAATTTTCAATTTCATTGTTCAAATAATAGAAGAAAAAAAAAAAAGCTTCCATTCTGAATATTTTCCAACATTTCTGGTGTGACTATAACAGGATGAATACGTTTGCAAATTGTCGAACCATTAGATTGGGCAACAGCTTCTACGCATTTGAGTCGGAAGAGAACGGCTGTATATCCACAGTGAGGTGAGCTTGTGAAATGGAGACAAAGAAGTTCGTAGCAGCTCAGGCGACCCACTATCCTGGGGGTCCGCTTCGAGTCTCTTTGCACTCAGATATACTGTATATAGGACAGAACATCTGGGATGGTAACGAGGGGGAGAAATGATAAATATGCTCAAACTGGGATCCCGAGTCTCAGTCTGCTGCACATTCAATCCCTCAGATTTAAAGGTCACAAGAACTGACTAATCCAGCACTGGTGACAGCCCCTTTTTTTTTGTGTCTGCCGTTTAGCATATGTCACATCAGCGCAAATCCGCACAAAGAACAAAGGCTGCAACCAGATGCACATCAAAAACACAGCTCTGTGAGTTCAGAGTCCCAGAGTTGCACACGGGCCAACACGTGGCCTTCCACCCTTGACAGACCTATCTGTGTGTTTTTCCGTTTTATCTCCCTGCATTCTTCCTGACTGTGTGATCGCCATTACTGACTTTGATTAAAAATCAAAATACTGATTTTTTTTGTTTTTGTTTGCAGCAGCAAACAAACCCCCCCCCCCAAAAAAAAAATGGCTGAGCTCGTTCAAGTAAAAGTAGGGCAAATGGTGCAGAAGGAGCAGCCGCCTTTTGTTTATATAAGCTCGGTGCCAACACGACTCGTCTCCTTGATTGTGTCTGGTTGTGGGCATCCATACCCCAGAGGTCATGTTCTCCTGATGAATCTCCTCGCACTGACCCCGTGCTCCTTTCTTCTTTTCCAGCCTCGCCTTTGGGACTCTGTATCCAGCGTACTCCTCCTACAAGGCTGTCAAAACGAAGAACGTGAAGGAATATGTGAGTTATCACCTCTGGTCATGGAGTGGCAGCGGGGCCGTTCTTGACCTCCTTCTGTTCATTTCTTCCTCCTGGCAGTTTCTGCCCTCGGCTGCTGCCTGCTCTTTTTTACAGACATCGTCCCAAATTCAATGAGTTATTATTGCACACGAGTAACATTTTAGGGTTTAGGTTGATGTTGCTTAGTAAGAAGTGACACTCCAGTGTTGTTTTTTGATATGTCAGCCATTTGAACGTTTTATTGACTTTTCTATAGTTCTGTAAAGTGTGTTGAAGACGGGCTGCATGACATAGTCAAGATGGTAAATTCATGAAAGAGGGTGTCGGCTGTTTGAAGGCTTGGAAAAGGAATTGGACGGTTTTATTCTCATAGCTTTTCAAGATGTCATTTTTAAATCATTTGGTCAACTCTTGAAGAGTGAGTTTTTTCTGCTGAAGCCTTTCAGTGTTTTTTTTTTTCCTCCTCGTAATCTACAAAAAAGATTTCTGACTAGAAAATCTTTCACATAATAGTGCACTGTAGGACCCAAATAAGCAAAATTGTAGTTTTATTCTTTCTTTAATTGCTAAAACATTGTTGCGCTCGGTCATAAAAAGCCAACAGGGTTTAAAAAACAAAACAAACAAAACCCCCACTAACTTTTTTTTATCACACTGTTGATGGGAAGTAAAAACCTTTTTATTAAGGTCACAAGCAGGTCAAATCCCAGGTCTTGTAAATTACGCATTCAGCTTCAAATTAACTTTTATTTTGGTAAAGTTACAACGTTAACAAAAAAAAACAACACTTTTTTACAAACCAAATAATTTACCGAATAAGGAATCGGCTGAAGCTAAGGCTTATCCTTGCCTACCTTATTCATATTCTCAGCAGTCTACAATAGTGGAATGTATCTGTTGTCCATGTACATAAATACGTATGCATACATTTATATTTAAACAGGCATGTATATACACATACTCGCATTACATACAGACACGGTGACACGATATATATGTGCATCTATGGTAACATTTACGTTGTCAGGCTGATCTCATCCAGTGACATTATTACAACTGAAACACATTGAGATTTTACTTTACTTTTCTCTTTAGCATGTTCCAACATTAGCCAGCATTGCAAATTACATTCATTCTCTCTCACCTTAAAGTCCTGAATGAAGACATTTATCCAGTGCTCTGTACGTTATTTGAAGTATTTTTGTATGTGTAATTTATTTAAATTTTTCATTATTTAAATATTACTTTGAATAAAACATTCATTAGTTGGTCCACAACATCCCATTTTATTAATAAGCCTAAGAGCGGAACATGATAACAAATTGGACTTGGTAAAGCAAATTTATGCTACATATTTGTTGGAAGAGACAAAAAGTTAATTTGCAAAAACTTACAAATAAATGAAAGCGACAGAGAAACTGTTGATGTTTTGTTTTTATACCCCGGTTTAACTGATTGATGACGACGCTTGTTTATTCAACCAATATTCAGATTTCTGAGGCTCCTACATTGTTCTTGTTGAAAGGTTTGGTCACCATTGTTTTCAGATGACCTCACTTCTTTGGCAGATTCTTCATGATCTAATAATGGTCAACACCCTGACATGCGCAATCTGAGGTCCCATGCAGGTCCTGCTTCATGTTGTTTTTAATTTCCATCTCACTAAATCTTTTGTAGACCTAAAAAGATGTGACGATCAGATATTGAAATCTTGCGAAAGGCTGAAACGAGCTATATTTACTATTGCATTTATTAATTGTGTGTCTCCCTCCTGTCCCGTATTTGTGAAAAACAAAACAGAACCCAGTTGGGGCTCAGTTCGCTGGTACTAATGAATTAAATGGCGTTTCTAGGGGAACCCAACAAAAAGGGCTGCAGAGACCCATTCTGCCTGTAGCTGGTTGTGTGGCAGCTAAATGGGGTTCCTCCTGCTTACCTCATCGCTGCATCAGTAGGCGTTGAGAGGGGAGGATCTGGGAGGAGGATCTGGGGGGAGGATCTGGGAGGAGGATCTGGGGGGAGGATCTGGGGGGAGGATCTGGGAGGAGGATCTGGGAGGAGGATCTGGGAGGAGGATCTGGGGGAGGATCTGGGAGGAGGATCTGGGAGGAGGATCTGGGGGGAGGATCTGGGAGGAGGATCTGGGGGAGGATCTGGGGGGAGGATCTGGAGGAGGATCTGGGAGGATCTGGGAGGAGGATCTGGGGGGAGGATCTGGGAGGAGGATCTGGAGGAGGATCTGGCCCTCAGCCTACATTTCTACTGGAGCACAGTCTCCTCCTGGCAGGTTACTATGGCAACTCCTCGACTGCTGCTCAAGCAGAAGTGGCAAGTGATGGGAGGAGGAAGAGGAAAGAGGGTGACACCTTTTTTTTTTTTTTTTTTTAAACTGATGTTTTGGTTCTTTTCCCTCCCCTTCCCATCTGACTAATTAAACGAGCCGCTTGATGTGGTTTTGTCTTGTGGCTGCACATCCGACTGACTCCCATTAATGCTCCTAAACATCCACATTTATTCTCCCACTTCACAGAAAGGTTTACGGCGCTGATGTTGCCACTAAATCTGAGCTCTGGTGTTTTTCTTCGGTGCTAATTTGCCTGCATTTCCTGGTTTTAAAGCTTACGTCAGTAATCTATTTTTTTTTTTGTTGTGAGTATTATCTGGTGTGAATTAATGAAAACATGCTGGTGACCTCTGTGTTGCGTCACGCGCTCCAACGCGTGCGTTTTCATGCGCCGCTGTTCCGATGTCCCCTCGTTTCTCACGTGTGTGCGTCTGTCTCTGCAGGTAAAATGGATGATGTACTGGATAGTCTTCGCCCTGTTCAGCACAGCGGAGACGGTCACAGACTTGCTCCTGTCATGGTGAGCGAGGATCGTGATCTTGACGTGCCGCAAAGCTCGTAACATGACGAGACGTTTGAAGTGCTCGTGTTAGTTTTAGTTCAATCTTCTTCTCAAGGTTGTTTTTTTTTTTTTTTTTTTAAAGTGGCCAGCTGCTGCTTTTCATAGAAACCATTACTGAAGTTTTTTCTGCTGCAGAAAATTGCTCCAAGGTATTAGGGAGAACTGTAAACATTTTTCCAAAACTAACTCAAAGTAGGTTCCTCAGAGAGAGACCACCTAGGTTAGGCAGCTATCCCTTCTATCATAAGATTAAAGTAATTATCTCTATCCATCTAATTTATTTATTATAGTAGAAGAGGGGAAATTAAGCTGGTTGATGTATTTCTAGAAACTCTAAAGAGGTCAAAAACATTTTCTCTTTTTCCCTGAAAAGTCTGTAAAACAGTGCAATAAACATAACTTTTTAGACAAAACAAAACCACTAGGGATGAAGGTCAGTGTGTAAAGAATGAATGAATGGACAGGTTGCTCAATGTGGAAGATCAACTCACTCCAAGCAGTTACTGATGTGCAAAAGAAGGACCAATAATAGCATTCTAGCTGCCACTACCAGAACAGCTTCTCCAAACGCATTATGTGGTGCGATATTTTCATATGAATTAGATTTTCTTTTTATTCATATTTTAAAATGAAATCTGAGTTAAAGTGTTGGAAATCCCAGCAAAAATACTGGAAGTGTTTCCTTCAGACAAAGATCTTTTACTGGCCTTTTTAAAATTTTATTTATTTTTTTTTTTTTGCTTTCATGACTAACTATTTTTCCCTGAAAAACGGTTATTCAACTCAGAAATTGCAGTACTTATCAGAAGAAGAACACACGTTTTATGATACAAACGTTTTGTGAGAACAATAATCACAAATAGTGATCACGTCACCTTTAGAGCTTTATGCTGCCATTCACATCATTTTGCTTCCAAACATTTGCAAAGATTTTCATTCTTTGAAAAGGCATCTTTTTTTTTTTTTTTTTCAAAATAAAGGTTATCTTGTCAGGTTTTATGGGCAATTTTTGATGGTATACTGAATGCACACAAAAATAGATACAAGCCGTAGCACCTCTTGTGTTTATGTTTGCTTCCAGTTGTAACTATAATAATATAAAAGAAATACAAATGAACTGTTTCAACATTTATGGGACAAAAATGGTTTAGGTTTTGCAGGAAGAGCAGGCCCACTTCCTCCTTTTCCTGTCTGAGAGTTTTTAATCTCAGTTGTGAGCTGACCTACAGGAGAAGCTTTTAATCCAGCCTATTGTTGAAGCTTCAACTTTTTATTCCTTTTCTCAGGTTTCCGTTCTACTTTGAGCTCAAGATAGCCTTCGTGATCTGGCTCTTGTCCCCCTACACCAAGGGCTCCAGCGTTCTGTACCGCAAGTTTGTCCACCCGACGCTCTCCAACAAAGAAAAGGTAGACGTCTTGTCATTGTGTGACATCCACGTTAAAATATTTGTGTCTGACCCGACACCCTGTGTTGTGTGTCACTTTTTAAAAAAAAATTTTGTCGATCCTCCTGCTCCTGCTGCCGGGTGAAGGAGATTGACGAATACATCGCACAGGCCAAAGACAGGAGTTATGAGACCATGATGAAGTTCGGAAAACGGGGTCTCAACCTCGCCGCTAATGCAGCCGTCACCGCAGCCACCAAGGTGAGGCGTCCAGTCTGTGGTGAAGTGTCTTTGTTATTCTTGTTAAAATATGGTGTTGCATGTAGAATCTGGGCTTCTTCCCAGCTTGTGTTTAAAAATGTGATTTATCTCTCAAGAGAACACAGAGATCAGCTGATGTACTGACCTCTGTCTTCATTTCAGTCAGAAGTGTTGAAATGAACCAAAGTTTATCTTCTCACCATGTTTATATTTCGTGCTGCAGTGAAGACGATGGTAAAGGCAGTGAAACAAAAGATTGCATTTTCAATCACTCAATCAATCAAATTTTTTCTATTTTTTTTCTTTTTTTTAAGGTTTTCTAGGTTATTTTTATCAGAGGTTCTTATAATTGTGAAGCATGCTGCAAGGTTACGCAAAGTAGCTAATATAATTATAATTTTTTTTGGCAACTTTAGTGTCTCCTTTACAGAAGCTGAACAGGCAGAAAAGATGCATTCATCTCGTAACGTCCATTTTCTTTTCCCATAATGCCCAGGGCCAGGGTGTGCTCTCTGACAAGCTGCGCAGCTTCAGCATGCAGGACCTGACCCTGATCAACACGGAAGACGAGCTGGACCTGCACACAGCCCAGGTTCGGACGAGACGAGAGCACACGGACGAGATGAGCTCGGGGTCCAGCACGCTGCCGCGGGCGCGCAGCTCCTCTGCTCGCCACAGTAAGGCCACAAACGCCCCATCAGCCAGGAGGTGGCGCACACGTTCACCAATATTAGCAAGCATTAACTGCGCTGGAGAGTGACTTTAAGGACTTTGTTCATTGAAAGCAGGGCGAGTCGTATTTGGGCTGTGAGGAGTCATATGACTTGGAGGATAATGAAGCAGTCCAGAGAGGGGAGTTGCGGTGGGGAGGGTCATGTGATTCTGGAGGGACGAGAGGCTCAGAATGAGGACTCTTTGTCTCACTGCTGTCTATGTTGTCCTGAATAGCGAGACGCTGAAGCTACAGGACTGTCTGATAACGGTCAAGTTTCTAAAACTAGGACTGCATAACAAACAACATGTCCAGTTTGTTTTGCTGTAGAAATAATCTAATTACCACAAATCAAATTATTTCAGGTTTTATTTTTCGGTACAGCAGATTTCCATAGTGGGGTTGAAGATAACACAAACATTTTTCCATGTTGAATGATTTCTGAATCTTTTAATCTTTCTTTTTTTTTCTGTTTTTGCCTGAAAGCTTTCTTATTCAGGAGCTCGTTTTTAATATAAACTTAACTCCAATTTTCTGAAAATCCACAATTTTTCATTTTTTCGCCCCTCATTCTAAAATAAACAATGTGTAGTAGTTAGTCTGGTAGAAGGAGAAATCAGAAACGGGTCTTTCTTTTATATAGTTTGCTGACGTGAGTGTAAAACCCAAAGCTAACTTTCTCTGTCCAGCCCGCTCGTCAGCACCTGTTGCCGATGACGCGTCGTCCCAACACGGCTCTGACCAATCGGACACGAGGACCGAACACTCGGATGACGATCTGGGAGACAAAGGTCCCAAACGCAGCGTCAGCGCCGCCAAGACAACCAAAAAGGTAGCGGCTGTGAAGACGGAGGTAAGAACACAGTTCGGGTAGCTCGTCTGGGAAGTTTTCAGGATTCTTTTGGTTGATCAGTTCTCATAGAATCACTAAGGAAAACACAAATGTTTCAACTTAAATTGCTTGTTCAGGGCGGCTCATAAACGGTCTGGGAAAGTATTTTTCATGTCTGGATAAGCATGGCAAAACAGTGAAACATGAAAAAGTATTTGAATTTTTACTTTTTTTTTTGTAAGTTTATCTCTCCACTTATCAAACCACACGTTTGATGAGACGCTCATCTATCTGTCCATCGAGCCATTCATTTTGTCCGTCCATCCAGTCATTCGTCCTTTCCATCCATCTCTGTTCGTCTGTCAATTTACCTTTTCTGTCTGCTCATCCATTGAGCTGTCCATCTCCTTACGCTCCCTCTTTTTGGTTTTTGGTCCATATCAGCTGAAAATCGGTAGTGAACATCACTATTTTTGCTTTTTAGCAATGGAATAAAAAAGACTCAAGAGCTCTGAAAAGTTCAGTCTGAAAAGGGGTTGAATGTGTAAGGGCCTCTAAAGATTTGGTTCTTCTTTTATTTGTTTCTCTTTCACGCTTTCATTTGATTAACTGAGCTCTTCTTCGCTCTTCCCTCCCTCTGCCAGCCTCAAACCAAGACAGTGAAAAAGGTCACAAAGAAAAAGACCACCACTAATAACGCAGAGACGCCTCCCTGAGTCCTGCTGTCCTCACCCACCGGACCCCTCATCCGCCTCCACCCACAGCCTGCCGCCCCTCCTGCTGGGTCTCCACAAACACATTGGCTTTGTACATTAAGCACCGAAACTGTCACTGCTGCTGGTTTCTAGAGCAAAGTGCGGATGGCGATTTTTTTTTTTTTTTTTTCTTTCTCTTTTCTTTCTTTTCAGGTCACAGAGAAACCTTCGGCCTAACTGTCCGGTTGCATTTTCTGGGTCAATGTTTAGGGGCAGTTTAGATGCAATTTAAGCTGTTTTCTTCGATTGTTTTAAAGTTAGTCATCTGCTCAGAAGCACTCCTGCAGACCAAGGTCTAATTTGTGTTTAGGCTGTGTGATCTCTTTTTGGATTTAGGCTGCTTTTATTTATAGCAGTGCTGTTTGAATAAACCATTCTTTGCTTTTAGTTTCCTAAAGTTGGGTCGCCTCCTGGCTGTCGATGCAGAGCGTTTGCAGGTGAATTCTTCAGACACGGTTTGCACCTTCATCCTGACTCGGCCACAGCACCACGAGTCCTCGGTTAGCCATGCAAAACGACGCGATGTCGGAGGAGTTTCCAGTTGAAACGGAGCTATTGAGACCAGCGGAAACGCTTTTGTCGGCATTCTTTAGCTCCAGCTAGAATACAGTTGGTTCCAGACTCTCATCCTTGAAATGGTTTGGACTGTTTTATTCTACGCTTTTTGTTTTGTCCCCTTAAATACAGTTTAATTTGAGCCTGGCTCTGATATGTTCACATTCTGATTTAATTTTTAAGTGACTTTCAGGTCAGTGCAGGTGCTTACTTTGTTTATTGGGACGCCATTCTTAGTATTTTCCCTCTAATTTGAGTGTTTCTCGAATGCGTCTCTTGCGAGTCGCCATAACGTGACGCAGCCGCCTCCACCACAGTGACGGCTGCTTTTCACTGCTAAAGGGGAAACGGCACTTTCTCTTGATGGTCGTACCCGGATGTGTGAGGAGGCGCATTTCTGCATCTTGCTGTCAAACCAGGACAAACATCGGCTGGATTTTCTGATCCAGGCTTTGTAGTTGCAGATGTGGAGGAGGAGTCAGACTTGAAGTAGCCCAACAAACTGCATGGATTTTTCTGGATGCTGTACATTTTTTTCTTTGTTTACACTTGATTTAACCAATAGGGGGAGACAAACTCCACAGTAACTTTGGGGCACATAAATAACCCTGACTGTACATACATCATGAGCTTGTTGCCTGGGTTCCCTTCACTTCCTGTCCTGGCCTTGACAAATCAGACATACTGAAAACAGAGGAATCTCAGGCTTTATCAGAACAGACTTTAGCTCATTAAGATGATACCTCTGCAACTTTTTTTCTATTTTTAATTTTTAAAACATCTCTTCCAATAAGTATTTAATACCAATACTGAAGCTTGAATATTATCAGCCTGATTACAAAGTATTTTATGGCAAAGTCAAACATAAACTACATTTTTGCTCTGAAGGGGTTACATAATTTAATGACATTTCATTTTATCGCTGCATTTTTATCTTGTCATATTTATTGTTGATCACTTTGTTTCTTATTAGTGTGGCATACAGAGATGCTAATTTGTATATTTTGTTTGTGCCAAATCTTAGAGGCTTTGTGTGAAATGGTCAGCGGAGTATCTGCTGGGACAGTGCTTTCCAAAAAGGTCGCTCATCTGTAAAGAAATGGCTATTAATACAAAATAAAGGAAATTAAATCCAGCTCTCAGGGTTAAAGTGTGTTTGAATGTGACGTACAGCGTTGCTTAAGGCGCATTTCCGGGACAATGTGTGTTTTTCATTTTTCTTTTTTAATTCTAATCTGTAGAAAATTTCAACTATAAATTTACTGAGCTATGCAGAATCACATTGCTTCCTAGTTATTTTATTATGATTGCATCCAAGCTGTTTCTTCATGCTTACTAATGTTCTACATTATAACGGAGTCCTGCTGGAAGATTAGAGAAGTCCAACACATTAAAAAAGAAAAAAAAAAGAAATGGTGTTCAAAGTAAAAATGCTCTTCAGATGACTGCAAGTCCTAACAAGAATATGGACATGAGCAAAACAAAGCAGTATCCTATAATTTAATAGAGCTGATATATAGTCAGAAGTAGGTAATAACTAGTTACATTTCAGTAATATTTTGAAGAAAATATTTGTCGGTGTGACATTGTTTACTTTCTCTCAGGTAATATTTTTGACACAATGGTACTCGAGTACAATGGCTCCTCCTCCACTCTCCTGTAGTTACTTTAATGAGAAACATGAATGTTTGAAGTTAAATATTGTTGAAAGTAAGAGTGGCACAGTTTCAGTGTATTTTTTTCCTCTCAAGCAGAAGTAAAGACTAGTCATCCAAAAAGTTACTCAAAAGTAAAAAATATATAGATATATTTGGTAAAGTGTTTTTTTTAACCTGGTTTTATTGAGTGGAAAAGAATGTAATCATATTGGCAAAGACTGAAATCATGTGTAGGGTTTTGGTAAAAATACAGTGATATTTGAGCAGAAGTAACGTGTACGGTTTCCACAACAGAAAACCTTTGATCCCAATCCTTAGAGTTGGTTATGCACATATAAAAACAGTGCAAAGTGCGTTCAGAGGCAGTTTACTGTATTGTTCTCCAAATGGCACAAAAGGCTCCGCAGATGGAAAATAACAGGAGCAAATGCGTTTCTCAAACAATAAGTCTTGTTTTCACATAAACTGTCCAGGTGGATTTGACGCATTTTGGGTGAAATGAACACATTAGATTCACAAACAAAAGGCAAGCAAGACTTCAGGAAAACTGGCGACCTCTACAGGTCATGATCAAAATCAACGATGGTCTAAGAACATAAAGGAAGTAGGGGAGACCGTGTATGGTTGTAACACTTTTTGCTCCAGCACCTTTAACTCGCAGAATCTTTGAGCTAGATTTTCAAACTTTTATACAAAATACCCACATTTGTACTACAAATGGCACCAATTCAAACCTCTGCAAGAATATCACAGACCTCATGAGTTCATGTCAAATACATGGTGTTCTTTTGTTACAACCTACCCCGCTACCGGGTAGGTTGTAACGGGTAGGTTATGTGACTGACCATAACTCAAATATACTCTGTGTGTGTGCATGTGTGTAAATTATTCTACTAGAACAAACTTCCTTAATATGTATGCTTAATGAACACTACAAACATGTAGGTCTAACAAAAAACAATGTCAATGCGTGTGTGTGTTTGTGTGTGTATCCTTAATTAGAGTCACAGTGGTGACAAATGAATGATGGTAGCCCAGGAGTACAGGCTTCGTAGGCCCAGAGACTGCATAGGGCACATTTTAACCACACTTCCTGTGGCTTTGAGTTGCCAAATGGCTCCATACAGACAACACAAAAATATTCATCGTCTGAGGTCTCAGAATCCTCAGCATCGGCTTTTAACATTTTCTTGACAGGCTTTCTCTTCTTCCTCTTTTAATTGCCTTTATTCTTTGCAAAGAAACTCTTCCTTACATTTTTTCTTCCTCTTCTCTGTTCTTCCATCAGTGCTTGTTTCACTGGTGAGTCAGTGTATTTCAGATTTCCTTTTCTTCCTGATCCTGCCAGTTGTTTTCCTTGGACCTGCTTTGGAAATGGCCGCATAGCCAAAGGATTGAATGCCTGACCAGGAGACACCCCCAAGGTACTTGGCTCATCTGGAGCACAGGACATGGTCACATTATTAACTGCAGAGGAGCCAGAAGTAGTAGTCTCCAGGTGAGTTGGTGGAGACTGCAGCTGGAAAGCTCCAGATGTCAGTAATGTACCTGGGTCGGGACGGTCAGTGACTTATGAGGGTGCATAGTCACACTCCTCAAAAATGACAGGGTTGAAGGGCCAAATACTTGTTTTCTTAAATGGGCCGTAGACACTGCAGTGGAGGGAGAGGTAAGTAGCACTATTCCCTTTTCTTTGCAGAAATCAATAGCTTTAACAGATACATGAGAACAGTGATTATCCAACAAAAGTAAAACATTCTTCTCTGGGCTGACCTTTGTGTGTTTTGCAAAATGAGCAAGGAATAAGAGGAAGTCTTCCACTTGCATCCATCCTGAGGCATTACCACTTCCTGCACTCCCTGTTGGCCCACTCTGAATGAAGAGTTCCTAGTAACGTTTTCGGGGAATACAAAGAAGGGAGGAATTGCATTTGCCAGCGCTTGCACAGCGTATGCTACTGACACGAGCACACCTCTCTCACCTGATGTCATCGCATCCACCTGCTTGACACCACGACGAGCAACAACACGGTCTGGTGATTGGACTGTTGTTACACCAGTTTCATCTACATTCCATATATCGCTCCCGTCGAAGTTGTATCTCTCAATGACCTGTCCAAGGGTGTTGAAGAAACGTTAAAACTTGTGGCCCTTGAAAGGCTGGTTGCCTCAGGACTCCTTATTGACAGGGTGGGGTTCCTCTTCATAAATAATGTGAACCAGTCAGGCCCTGCCATCTGCTTCTCATCCCATGTTTGCGGATGGGATGACATAATTGACATACACAAAGAAACCCCTAAAAACCTGTTAAAACATTTGCATGATTTTAAAGAGCATCAGTAAAATTACATTATTTACACAATTTGCATAAGGCATTCGGTTGTATGTTACTAAAGAACTCCAGTTTTTATTTATTTATTATTACTGGTTAAATGTAATGGTGTGACTGATTACGGCCAGTTGATATGCAAACTTTCTGACCTAAAAGAAAGAGGAATAGAATATACATAAACACAAAATGTTTTTCAATTTGTCAAGCACCTACACTGGTATCCAATTCTTCGCTTATCTCCAGTGACTAACCTGTCATATGCTTACCTCACGTGGAGTCAGTCCATAATACAGGTCTACAACTCTCCCCATGTTACATCTAGATATATGTAAATAGCTTAAGAGCATTTATACCACAGCAGGAATGGAAAATTACAAATGCAAAAATTTAATCATATACAAATCTATTAATCTCTTCATGTTAAATAAATAAAAAATATTACTTTTTATTTAAGTATTTATGTCAGCTTGAGTAATGCAGAACCGAGCTGATTGTTTTCATAGCAACGATCAGAAGCAAGAGTTGCGCCTGAAGTCCAGTGAGCTCACTGATGAGGTCATAGATGACATCATGTCTGTCATAGATGACATCATGTCCATCACAGAAGATCAAAGAAGTTCTGATTCTTAAATGCTTGAAACCGTCAGTCAGAACCAGACAGTTCTTAGGATTTTTTTCTAAGAGATATATTTGCGCGTTTCGTAATGTTTCGTTTATCGGAAGCTCTAGTGCCATTTTTCCTCCCGCTCGGTTGGGGAATAGGATACGCAGTGACGACTGGATTGAAAAAGGTTTGTGATCTCTTCTTTCCTGGGGAGGATTCGAGCAAAGACCAGCAAGGAGAGGAGGACAAATTATTTCGGTCTAACACTGAAGATCAAAACCACCTGGCGAAGGACGTTAGTGGGAATTCGGACTCAGCCCAAATATGTCCAGGGGACGACGGTACTGTCTTTGGACAAATCGACCTGGCGGGGGAGGTTTGTCCAGAGACATTCGCACAAACACGTTGGCCCCTGGACATGAATTCAGAGAGTAGAAATGGCTCGGATCTCTCACTTATACGGAGGACACCGGCTGCAGGACTTGGACAAGCGGAGCAGAACTACAAGTTCGCCAACGGGCTGCACAACAGCTGGATGAACGCTGCTCTCCAGAGTTTCCTGAACCTGGGCGTCACCAGAAGGTGCTTTGCCCAGGACAGGGTTTCTCTGGAGGCAACTTCCATCCGCTGTTGTGTGGACCTCGTTGACTCCGCAGTCCACCAGCCTGGCAAGCACTTTTGTCAAGCAGACCTGTCCCCGGTTCTGATGGAGCTGGAAAAGCAGCTGCCATCAGATGTGGGCGGGACTTTGACATGAAGTGTTTGCTAGAGTTTCTTTTGGCCCACTAGGGATCTCTTGGCGGAGACACTGACAGGGAGCTCTATAATGAAAATTATTGTGCTACCTGTCAGTCTCTGTTCCACGAGCCATTGAACAGCGGCCCCCTGATTTCTCTTCCGCCAGTAGTATTTTCAACGAGCTTAGGTTCGCTGCTGTACTTGTAACAGAGAGCAAAGTGTGTATATGTCTGTGTGAATTTTGCCCAAAATAATGAAGGTTGTGTTTGTTTTTGATGAGATTTTTGAGTAATGCATGTTATGGAGCCACCTAGTGGTGTGATAACGGACTGTATGCGACAGGTCCTTCAGGCGCTGGCTTCCCCCACCAAAATTCTGCGGAGTGCTGGTGGAGGTAGATACGAGACAGGCAGCTCTTCATTATTTTTTTTTACTTGGGGTCATATTTTTCTGGTTCAGTACTTAACAAAATACTATAATAACAATTGACATCTACAAATATAATTTATGAAGTTTTGTCGTGGTTGGGTGGGAAAAATATGACCCTATGTGTGAGAGCTGCGTCAGTTGGTGTTGCTGGCTGACCAAACAGTCATGACGATAACTATATCTGTTGTTTTTCAGCTGAAGGACCACTCGCAGGCAGTCACGTCTTGAAGATTTATCTTTTTTTTTATCACTCTAGGTGGGTTCTGGTTATAAAAACATATGTATACATGTCTAAAAATATATATAGAAATGTTTTCCAAATGTTATAACTGTTAACTGCGATGGCAGTTATCTGTTATTTTACTGTTGGTTTTG